ATTACATGAAAATGTTACATCTTTCTTGTTCTGAAACCATGAATATCCTACTGGCGAGTAAAAGTTTTCTTGTTCTCAAAAACATGGACACACTTTTCCAAAATGGAGAGATATGGAAGTGTCATCACACAATGTTTTTTGAAATAGATACTCTTATAAACTCTCAGAATACATCTCATAATTGGTTTTTGTGCAATGAAAATAGTTATCATGTGAGGGGAATGCTATGCATTCTGTGGTAGTGTTTAGATCCTATTTGAAGGGAAATAATTTTTTAAGGCTTAGGTAGGTTCTTTTTGCGACGATACGTAATTGCATGGAGAATTTGAGCAACTGGTCAAAACCAACGCCAAAATATTCAGCTTCAGAGACAGAAAGACTGAATTCGTTTTCAATATGTGATCTGAGATCATTGTCGATCCCATAGAAGGCGTTTTCCATGTTAATCGGCTGCTTCACTTTCAAAAGCGGTGATAGTTTTATGTATATGCTCATTGTCAACAGTATACCTTGATCGCACACTGAATACTGAGTCAAGCGAAGCGAAAAGAGAGATTCAGCCAGCGCTATGTGTCAGAGTGGGGAGAAATGTTAGCCAAACATACTGACGCTGTTTTGCGTTACGTTACCAAGTGGTTTACCCTTTCATGAGAAGATATCACTTCAAAAACATTCAAGACAGACTAAAAAAAAGAATACTGTTTGTATATCAATATGATCACGATTTGTTTGAATTATATTGCCGATAATTGACAAGGTATCATTACTAGAACATAACTAACTCCAAACTTGAAAGATGAATGAAATATACTTGTCATTATGGAGACACGTCTGAGAAGAAATTATGCCAAAATGATATGTACACAAAACTTATTCCAGAGTACACTCCTTCCTCAAATCCTAGTTCTTTAGCATTTCTTGTTCCTGTTGAATGTTATACACTCAGTCTGGAAACTGTAACTTAAAAATGCGTTCCATGGTTCGGGTTTTCGCTCGAAGAATTTTCCAATAAAAGGAGGACATTCTAAAAGAAAGTCTAATGAAAAAGTGTCCTGTGACGAAAACATGAAGAATCAGGTGGTTTTATTGGAACAACCAAGCAAAACTAGCGAGATTGCTCGAAGGTGCTCTCGTCGTATTTGCCAACTGAAAAGGAAACTTTTTCTGTGAGATACGCTTGAAAAATCAGCTGAATTATCTATTAGGAGCACGAACAGTAGAGACTGAGAGGCAAGTTTTATAAATCTAAATCAGTTTAATAGGAAACGGAAACTTTTGGGAACATCTCAAGTAGATTCTTTATGTGAATTGGATTCATTTTATGCAGCGGAAATTGTAAGCGGTTGAAAATTTCTTTTGGAAGAGTAGACACCACGTGGATATACTCGGTAAAAATTCACATCCATAGTTCGTATCTAGTTCAGCGAAATGACACTCGTAGCATTGTTATTCGTATGAAGAATTCACATCTGTGTACTCCAACTAATGAAACGATAACAAACCCAAGTTATTGAAGTCTGAAACGGAATAATTGGCATACTCAGATATATGCATTTCGATAATATGAATTTTCCTCTCTCCATTTTATTTTTCGAATTATAAAACGAAGTTGATTTCAATAATTCTTTGGAGTGATTGTAATAATTTCAGATTATGCAAGGTACGTCTAACGATATTCAAAGAGTTCTGGAGCGGAATACTGGAAAGCGAAGAGAAATTGGTAATTTTTGATGAAATAAGTGATCGATTTGGTTAATTTAGCACTCGTTAAAATTAACGATAAGAGGTAATGGGTCTTCGAGCGACGGCATAAAGAGATGTAATTTATTTTTAACACTAGTTACCTTGGCGAATTGATTAAACTTTATGGAGTTTTCAGAAAAGTTTACTGCACGATTTTTAAATCAACCTGGAATAAAATAGTGGAATTGTATAAAACCGAAATCGTTTTAATTGATCTGACAAGTTGAGTTGACGAAACCCATAAAAGTTTTATTAGTATTAGAAGTTGAAAATCCTTCTTTACTTTTTGATTTATGAGGTCAGATGCTACAAATGCAATACGCATATACACAGACGGCTCAAAAACCAAAGAAGGCTCAGGATGTGGAGTGTACTCCAGATCACAAAACCTAAGGATCAAGTGGAGGAAGGGAAAAAATACCACCGTGGTCCAAACAGAACTGGCTGGTATCTCAATCGCCACAAAAGAAAAAAACCAGGAAAGGAATTTCTGACAAAAACATAAAAATCTGCACTGACAGCAGAAAAGCCCTATCAGCCTTGAATAGACAACGTGTTACCTCAAGGCTAGTACTAGAGTGCCACCAAGATTTAGCCAAAGCCTCGGTAGATGATAGCATTATCCTGAGGTGGGTTGAAGGGTACGACAGGAATATAGATGATTGCATTGCCGACTCTGTAGCCAAGGAAGCGGATGGACTACGAATTTGAGGACACAGTGGCACCTGCGGCCTGATGACTTCGACAATTGTGGAACCAGCCAAATGTTACACCCATGCTGAATCCCTAAGGAGATGCGATAGAATCAAAGTATGCAATCTTGCCAGAATCACCCTGGGCGAACCTGGGAAGCTGGCGCCGAAGAAATATCTGGCGATGAAAAATCTACGCTCAACAGTGGGATTTCTGACCCGCCGAACACACTGAGTGTGTATTCGGCGAGTCGTGTCCTACACCAGCCGATATAAAGGAGATGTCTCCCAGTGACCTGTCCACCTTTCTGGAAAGGATAGGATAGACAATGACCTAGGAGGACAACTCCTCGGGAGGATGTGCAATGGGTCACATGTGTCCTAAGTGCTGTGGGCTTACACTATCTGGCTTGACCAGGAAAAATCTACACTCGACAGTAGGATTTCTGACTGGCCACTGTCAACTAAATAAACATCTCCATATTATGAGGCTAGTGGACACACCTCTATGCAGGATGAGATGAAAGATGAGACTGTCAGGCTTCTCCTATGCGAGTTCCCTGAGTTATCGTCAATAAGAGAGTGTATGTTCGGCGAGTCTTGGCCTACACCTGCTGTAAAATACTCAATCAAATTAAAAACGAATTCGAATCTATTCTTGACTTGGCTTGACATTTATCAATTTTTCATCTGTCTAATTCTAACAACCTATGATATTTGTCAAACAACTTATACATAGTGATGAACAATTAACTGATATGAGAAAATACTAATAAAATAAGTAACATTCTCCACTCCCAAGCAGACTTTGCAAGGTGTATATATCAAATCCTGACTGGAAGAATACACACTTTGGTAACAGGTCTCATATATGTTCCATGTTTATTCCTAATTCGAACAACTCTGATGACTCTGTCTTTACCGGAAAACGTATCTTCTATTTTCCTATGATCCACTGATTCCTAGGTGCCTTCTCGTCCACAATCAAAACTATGTCGCCAATTCTAATAGGATTAGTTTTGTCAAGCAATTTTTGTCTCTGAAGAAGTGTTGGTCTATATTCAATTACCCATTGTTTCCAGTACGTATCTGCTAATGCTTGGGCAATTCTCCATTGCTTTCTGCTAGAAAGCTCCACATTGCCGAATGTGTTCCATTCTCAATTAAACTCATTTATGTTATGTATTTATATTGACACGAGTACCTTCGAGTATCGGGCGTGCGTGTGTGGTACCACGAAACGAGGAACTCATCGCCTCTCTACCAACCAGTGTCTAAAAATCTGCCGGCGCATCTACAGTGTGACCCATTTAAAATGGAACCACCCCTGTAGAATGTGCATTTTTCAATCAATCTCAATTTTTTTTATTGAAATATTAAGCATGAAAAACTGTATCTTGACACTAACTTTCACAATTTTAGTTTCATTTCCAAGGCACTCTATGGTTTTTTTTGTTTGTCAAAAACGGCAAAAGTTTNCACGTTTGGGTACCATATCGTTAATTTACAAAACACTGAATTTACGGTCTTATTATTTTCACTGAGACTGTGAAACAAGGAAAACCCAGTTTCCGCTCGAAGAATTGAAAGGATGGAAATAAGACATTAAACCTTTTTTCTATCCTTATCGAATTAGTACTTTTCACGTATACGTGGAGAAATTGCGAAGTGTAGAAATGAAACATATCAGATAGTTCTCATTGAAATCAGGAAACGATATACACGATTTATTCCGGTGAATGGGAAAACAACTTGCTCTTACGAAAACACATTATTTCAGATGGTGATGACAAGAGACTAGTGAGGAATTATCGAAGCTTGCTCTGCACAATACCAATTGAGATGATATTATCATTTGGAACTGAAGCACGAAAAAGTATTCGTGATTCAACACCAATTAACACTTTGATGATGTTGACCTCATCATCGGCGCTACGATGAATCACGAATGTAATGTTGGGCTCAACTGTCTCTAATAAAGGACAAACATCAATTTGGGTAAAACTGTGCCTGTCCGGTGTTGAATTACGAAAGGTTTGTTTTTGAGATCTGGTTTCGAAAGTCTTATTGAAGTGCAAGCTGCACACTAATTACAGAGGAAGGATATATTTTGGTATTATGGAATCTTGGCTTTGCAATAGATCGTTACAGATATACTCGTTTGAGTCTCTTGCCAATCCCCTAGGTGGCATCTACGCAGAAAGAAATGCCCGTACTCCGTATTTGATCACCCAGAAACCGTGCTCAATCACGTTTTCACTTTCCATTATAGTATACGATTAATGGCCAAGTTTTGAAATGTATTCTTGAACTAGATTTTGAATGCCATCAACACACCAGATAAATTATTGTCCTACATGAAGACTGATATGGAGCCACTCAAAAATCAAAACAGATATATCTATCTGGAAATCCATAACAAAAATAATAACAAGAAAGGTCAATGTCAACTGTGCTATGCAGTGAACAAATATCAACAAATGGGAATCGAAAGATTTCCACAACATATTTGTTACTAGAAAAACCATTAACTGCGGTAGTATTGCTCAAAAAGTAAGCGATAAAAATAATCATTTTCAATAAATTGAATTGGAAAAGTATTTCATGATCAGTTTAAGTGTTATTATTGAACCGTTTGTTTGCATTATTTGGGAACCGAATATTGATAATGGTGAGATCATCATATTCAATGAATTTCTTGAATTTCATTCCAAAGTTTTCTTTGATTTTTCAATATTCTAACTGATATCTTTCAGATTTTTAATGAATGACGCTAGATTCATTCGATTTTTTCGACTCCACGACTTCAACACCTGGAGACAATCAAGCCAAAAATTTTAAATATCGAGTGAGAATTTGTTTCAAAACATTTCGAATTCTGTTCAAAGTACTCTTTGAATTTCAAAATTCTGTCTGAAAATTTTGTGAAACCAATTACTCACTTCATGATGGTCACCTGATGGTCACCTTCGTTCGAGCTGTAAATCGCACATTGAGAGATAGGACCTGGTTGATCTTCAACTCTTACAATTTGTCTTCTGAGGGTTGTCATTCATGGGGGTTGACAACTGGTCATCAGTGTGTGAGATTTCAACACTTTCTAACATATGAACTAGCCTCTAGTATATAAGTGCTGGCAACTGTAATTGTTTTCAGCTGTTTAGACGCATCTCTATATGAATCTCGGTACCCTAGCGTAGCTATTATTCCAACAGCATATTTCTGGAGAAGAAATATCATTTTGACAGAAGCACTCCAGTTGAGAATACCATATCAAAGGTGTGAATGGAAGTTAGCATGGTACTATGTTGAAAGTGTAGTAGAGCTGCAGTGATTTGACATGAATCTAATAGAATAGCAGCTTTTCTTCAGTTTATTACATAATGTATCAATATGTTGATTCCACATTAATTTTCCATGCAGAACGTTTCCTAGCATATTTACAGTTTCTACAGGACTAATTGATTTTTCACTATTTTCATATGGTATACATTCGATTCCCTTTGACCACGTCTGCTGAACAATGTGATGTTAGTTTTAGATTTGTTGAGTTTCAAATTGTTTTTTCCAGCTCACAATATGATTTTATCATATACCGGGTGGCCCGGAACCAATTTACCCCCCCGTATCTTCGATGTTATTCTATATGGATGTTTTAATTTGGTACTTCGATTTGATGCTATGAATGTACGATTTAGCAAATATCAAACCGAATATGACCCTTCCGGTTTAACCAGAAGCGCATTAAGTTTTCATATTTCAAATGGAAAGTATGTATTTTTTTAACAACTACGATTTGGTATAGAATTACCTCAACAATGATGTCACAATCATACTCCCAATTATATCTGCCGATATAATTGAAATTTATAAAAAATCATTTTCAGTATTCACCTCGTAACGAAACATTTTCATGAAAGTATGCTATGGAATATTGAACAATATCGTATAAATAATAATAATGTATGGCCAAACTTTTTACGCAATAAGTTTTATGCAGACTAACTATTTTTATAAATTTAGTTTTTGAATACTAACTTATGAATTTTTAAAGTTGGTTGAAAACTCCAATACATATTGTAATACAAAACATAAAAAAACTCCATATTTTTGTTATTTATTTTATTTTTTATGGGGATAATTTCCATGGTATACCTATATTTGTATTGAACCTTTCAACTTCATGTTAGTTTATTGTGGCGCACACCTAATCGACACTTAACCAAATAAACTCAGCTTTTTAACAAAGCCGATTAGTTTGTATGGTGAGTGGTTTTTCAGGTCAAATGGTAAGAGTACGGCTCTGCCAAACTCTAAAAGCCTGATTCGATCCCCAGCGTGGCAGGCACAAAATATGTGCTCAGCTGTTTCATCATTTTCAAAACAGAGATAACACACACTCTCTTCCGACAATCCAGTCTCTGCATATGATGATTCAAATGACAGTGACCCGTAGAAAGGCCTGTTAGATATCGTAGTTCATCTCTACTGTAGTCCAACAACTGTTTGGTATCAAGTTTCACCTTGGAGAGAGCTAATCTTGGGATATTCTGCCAAAAGTCCATGAATCTTCTTGCTATCCAGGTGTTCAATCTTTGTTTGGTAAAGTCTAAAGCGATGCCAATGACAGCTTCTGGTCCGATGAAGCTGCTTCCAGCACCCTCCTCTGCAAAGGAATCAGCAGCCTCCTTGCCTTCCATGTCAGTATGGCCAGGAATCCAGACCAGAGACAATCTTTCAAGTCTCCTATCGAGGAGAGATGTTTTGGCAATATACTACCAATTTAGACGTTGCCCGGTAGGCTTCCAACGCCGCTTCACTGTTCAAGAATATTTTTATTGACTTATGTATGAGATTGGATTCTTCCAATCTCTTCACACACGATTCAATAGCGTTAATTATTGCTTGAAATACAGTCGCATAGGTTCCTAGGCAGATTTATATCTCTGTCCTGGGTCCGCGACTGAAAACACCTGCTCTAGAACCGGTAGGTGTTTTTAATCCCTCTGTGAACCTACAAATATCTGCTCTTAATATTTCCTTTCTAGAAGGATCCAGTTCTCTCTACTCGGAAACAGTACTTTATAAGGTAGTTCGTAGTTGACAATTGGAGGCATAAAGTCAGAGGTCATTTCCAGAATGCTGTGACTTCCAATGTCAACCAACAATCTGCTGCATTGAATTGATTTGTACAATTGGAAATGTTCACAAGTTTATATGCAGTCCATCTAGCCTCTCTCTCCAGAAAAATATAGGGGGGCGGTAGATCTAGAAGGATATCCATGGCCGGTGACGATGTGGTACAGATGGCACCACTGATGGCCAGACAAGCCTGTCTCTGTGAGCCAGAGAGCTTCGCCTGGGCCGTTTTATGTAAGCCCCTCGGCCACCAGGCAATCGCATCATAAGTGATCATTGGTCTGACAATCATCACATAAATCCAATGGATTCGTTTGAGACCTAAACCTCACGTTTTACCACAAATCCTTCGACCTGTCCATAGGGACAGTCTGGCTTTGTGTAAAACTTTTTCCAAGTGAGCGTTCCAGGTAAGTTTTTTATAGAGAACAATGCCAAGATATTTCACTTTTCTAATATATCAGTAACCTTATTATATACAGTCTGCTAAAACACCACCTAGAATGATCTAACATCACCTGGTCGCAGAAGCAGAAGATGATTCGGAGTGATAGCTTCTGGCTCATTGGGATCGACCAATATGTGTGTCAAGGGCCTTGAATTAATAATATATTCAATTTCACTCATCAAGGTTACCAAATCTACTAAATCTACCAGATATTTTGGATTGATGGACTTCAAACTGATCTTCAGAGCTGTTTCAATAGATCTTATCATCCTTTCCCAGATTCCACCCATGTGTGGAGCTCCGGGAGGGTTGAATTTCCAAATTATATTTTCAGATGCGACTTCTGCTCCGACAAAATTGTACCCGTTATCTGTTATTATCTCCTTTGGCTGACCTCTTCTACACATAAAACGTCGGATAGCAAGCAATTTCAACGTATGAAAACGAAAAAGAAAATGCTCCTAACCGCTCGGGAGGCAACAAACCCATTTCTGGAAAAAGAGGTTTGCAATTTCGATTTTTACATTCTTGGCAATTTCTGAAGCTCTTCTTCACAGCTACTCGTATATTTATAATCCAATATTTGGAACGAAGATTGTTGACCACTGTCTCCAAATCTATGTGTTCAGATTCTTGATGATACTTATCTATGAGGAGCTCTGTGAATTTGTGCTTTGGATCTAACAGAATAGGGTTTCGCGATTCAAATGATATATCCAACTCTTTCGTATCTGGAATCCTACCGCCCAGACGTAATATAAAATATTCGTCCAAGAAGGCAGATAATTCATAAGAGCGACTAGACTTTGGTAGAAATAGCTTTCTTTTCAAAATGGAAATTTCTTCTCCAAACGTTTCTTCCTGACACTTTCTGATCCATAAATTAAGTCGGTTGGCCTAGACAGTTTTTTAATCTCGACAACTTTTTTGAAATGTAGAATCCAAGCAGTAGATCAAATGAGTCGATTTATTCAAGAATCTGGATATATTGGGGAAGTCCATCGTGAGAACTAGACTATCATTAAGATCTAAGAGTAGTATCAGATTGTCTTCATTGGAGCAACGTGGTTCTCCACGGCCAATCAGTTCCAGGAAATTTTAGAAAATGTGGTCCAGGAAACCACTCACCTCCTGGCAACAAATCGATATCTTTCATTTCATTCGTCGCCCGATCTACAACATTAAATTCAGATGGTTACCAATGCAGCGAGTTGAGCAATTTGACGAACAAAATAAAACTTACTTTTAACACAAATATCATACAAAGGTTTTTGTACAACTGTCCTGTTTTCATAATCAAATTGATACATTGAATATTTTTATGAAAACACATTTTGACAGCTCTCGTCAGTTAACTATTTTCATGTTATCGCATTTGCTGTGAAGTGGCCGTGTCAGGTGACGTCGAATTACCTGGTTACCAATGAACAGTATTGTTCACATCTCACGCATTTTATTTAAAGTCACATTTAAAGTTCTTGCTGGTGTTTAATGTATATAATACATTTGTAACAGAATTTAATTATATCTATATTTATTGTTCATAATAAAACTTTCTTGAAAATGGAATAATTATGTTTTGTTCATTGCTATTTTCTGACAATATTGAAGAGGCTGCAAAAAGACATTCAATTGAATTGTTACCAAAAAATCGGCTCCGCAGTACGATATCGCATATTATTCCAATTTTCTTATCTGGTGTAGACTTAAAATCGTCGAAGGAAATTTCAGCGAAACCGTCTTCTTAGCCTATCTAGAAGAGAAATGAAAATATGGATCTTTTCAACTTTGTGGAGCAAGTGGTGTTGATACAAGCAAATATTTCAAGGTAATAGCATTTTTAAGACGAAAAAATGAAGGTATAGGTCCAAAAAATGAAAAAACTCTTACGATTGAACAAGTCCAGAGGTTTATAAATGAGACGCCAGATGAAAAATATTTGATAATGAAAGTTGCTACTATTTTCGGAATATATGGAGGCTGCCGGCGTGTAGAGCTGTACCATTCATTAATTGAAGAAATTAAATTATTGGATAAATCATTGATTGTTCAAATTCCAAATACATTTTGCATTGTTGGAAAAA